AGGAGAAGGAGGAGGAGGAGCAGGAAGAGGTGGAGGAGGATGAGGAGGAGGAGGAGGTGGTGGTGGTGGTGGTGGTGGTGGTGGTTGGAGACGGAGGTGGAAGGACAGGAGGCGGCGAGCTTGACATACTCATAATTAACAGGTTTCCAGAAACAACACCTGAATTAATATTCGCCAGCCGGGCAACTGGCATGTCCTTGCAAGGGCAGAGTGGTGGGACCCGGGATGCGTCTGCCTGGTCGAGTTGGAAGCACAACCAGCACTGTATGACTCTTGAAGCCAGTTTGCCCCAGAGGCGAGATGCTGTGGTTTAATGGGGTGACAATGACAACAAGAGCTCCTGAAAATAGCTCACCAAGCTATTCTGTGGCGAATCACAAATCGTTCCACACATCCTCCTGATGGGTGACCCTCGAAGGGACGAAAGCCCCAAAAATCCGAAGCCGGACAGGTTTCTGAGACGATGTGGACAATTGCCGTCGTTCTTGTTCTCGTCGCTCTTGTCGTCGTTACTGTGACTCCGTTGCAGGTGTCACTCCTATGGCCTATGCTTGTGCCTAGTGGTGTTGCGTAGCAGTGTGCAGGCACAACAGCAGGATGATTCTCCTACATCCGAGCCTGTGTCTCATTTGTTGTGCCGTTTTTGCGCAGGTTGCGGTTTGAGACATTTTCAGCGTTGTTCGGTTGGCTTTGTTTGTTGGCTGAGGCGCGCGGTTGAGGTGGCCATGCTGGCAGGTGAGCCCACACAGTAGTTTGCCGCGCAAGATAGCAAACAACTTCTGTGCCGCCCGGAATGTGTGGTCCGCGTGCTGTCGGAGATGCGGCGCTATACTTTACACCTGTGGTGGCGTGTGCTGTATGTAGCCTAGAGCTGTTGTGATTGTGACCTTGATCAGGTCAACGTCGAGGAGGGCAAGGGGGTGTTTGCTGAATGTAATCCGGGAACTGGCAAGCAACATACATCATGTGAGTGCCGCACAACGCGGTCTGGAAAACGGGTGGGCCGTGCAGCCTATGACTATGACGTCGGGAAAAAGCATTTTGTTGCTGCGGCTCTCATGGTTGCAAAGACAAAATGAGCCAGATGGCAACCAAGCATGCGCGAAAGTTGATGCACCAGAAGCCCAGACAAAACTGTAGGTGAGCTCCCCCAGCACAGACAAAGAGAAGCAAGAGATGCACCTCCAACATTCCTAGGGCACGGGATTTTGGGAATGGTTGAGTTGTAGTCGAAAAGAGGGGCGGGCTGCAGCTGACATGAAGCTTAGGCTGGAACATGTCTATCTATCCCCGAAGCTGCATGTTCTGGGTTTTCACCTCAGTTGGTCTTGGTTTTCCATGTTTGCTTGTAGCCAATGAGCAAGCGGCATTCGCACCTTAATGCTCTATGCCTTTGAGAAGCATGCCAACTAGAAATCTAGCTTGTCTGCTGTCATGGCCTGTTGACGGAGGCCGGATCACTCTTTGTGGCATCCCACTTCTTTGAGCCACATTCTTGACTTGCTACCAGTAGCGTCATGGACGGCAGTTGCGGAATTTGATGATTAGAGCAAAGCTTTTAGGCCCACGCTGCTTCTGGCAACTTTGCGGCACAGACGCTTGGACGCCAACATTTCCAACTCCTGTGCTCTGTGTGTGTACACGTGTGTGTGTGTGTGTGTGTGTTATCCTCTGTACCAAAGAGTTGTAACTAGTTTCAATCAATTTTCGCAACAACGTGAAATAAACCATGCAGGGGGCATGGCGGTCATTCCCTAGCCATGCCAACGAAGCTATGGGACATGACTGGATGGGAAACTGGACGCAGTTTCCTGTACCTGCAAAAAGCTGGGCCCCTGTGCCAGCAAGATCAGAAAACGGCCGCTGTGCAAGATTAGATTGAAAGGCAGGTTTTAGGTTTTTCTAAATTATGAAAATCATACCAATGTGCAACATGTCCAGCTGAATCAGTCCTCATGTTCGTACTTGTCTGTCCATGTACATGCCAGAGTGATTGCAACAGTACATGAGTAATTGCAGCAGTTCAGACATGTTGGT